TGATCACACCAGGGATCCCTTCCTCTGAAACACCATAATTTTGTCTTTATGGCCACATCACTATCAATGTATTTAGTCACCCAAGCTAGAGGTATGAAACTTATCTGATTTGACACTCTCCATCTCCATCTAGTCATTTACAAAGTGCTGCTTTTGTATATCCTCAGAATCCCACTGCTCATTCCCTTGTCCCCATCCATAAGCTCAATACTCTATCTTAAAACTCTCAGCATTGGTCACTTTGAACTGGCATAATGATGTCCAACCTCCTTACTGGTTGATCTGCCACTGGTCTTGCCTTCCTCAAATCTACCTTCCATGGGATCACCCAAAATTTACTTAAGACATAAAATCTAATCAGGTCCATTCCCTGCTTGTAACCTTTCAAAAGCCCCTGGGTGGGTACACAAATACCTCTATGATCTGTCTGTGCCTTCTGTTTCTTATCACTTTGCTTAGTTCCTATCTCATGTTTTCTAGGTTATCTGTGTCCCTAACTCAAATCAGAGTTCCCTAATGGTTGGCTGGTACATCTTTGTGGTCTCCATTCCTGACACAGTGCCTACCTAGTACACCCTGGCCCTGTACTAAACCTTGAACTGAACTGGGTATCTACCATTGCTTTGCATTTGTACCTTTGATCTTAAGCTTTCAGCTGTCTTTGGCTTCCCCATCTGTATAGTGCAGTGGTTCTCAACCTTCCTAATACCATGACACTGTAATACAGTTCCTCATGTTGTGGTGACTACCAACCATAAAATTATTTTTGTCGGTACTTCATAACTGCAATTTTGCTGCTATTAGGTATCGTAGTGTAAATATTTGATATGCAGTATGTATTTTCATTGTTACAAAGGGGTTGCAACCCACAGGTTGAGAACCACTGGCTATGGTGTGTTCCCTGGAGAGGTAATTAGGGCTATTTACAAATATTCTGGTTCTCTTCCTCCTTTGTAGATAGAACATTGTAGAATTTTATTTCTCACTCCTTTAAAGTTAGGGGTGGCCACAAGATTTGTTCTGGACAATGAAACATGAACAGCAAGGCTGGGCATGGCAGCTCACACCTGTAATCTTAGCACTCTAAGAGGCTGAGGCAGGTGGATTGCCTGAGCTCAGGAGTTTGGGACCAGCCTGAGCAAGAGACCCCATCTCCAAAAAAAACAGCTGGGCATTGTAGCCAGTGTCTGTAATCCCAGTTACTCAGGAGGCTGACGCAAGAGAATTGTTTGAGTCCAAGAGTTTTTGAGGTTGCTGCGAACTGTGATGCCATAGCACTCCACCCAGGGTGACAAAGTGAGACTCTGTGTCAACAATAGTCTGTGTCATTTTTAGAGAAAGCACCACTTAATTGCCTGATGTGAAATACTGCCCACCGTCTCCTCCTCTTGCTGTAGGGTAGGCACAAGAAGAGAAGATGGAACTTTCATCAGTCCCTGAATGACTAAAGTGAGCAGAGACTTCTGCTGACTGGTGATTGTAGTATGAGCAAGAAGCAAATATCACTAATTTAAGGAGATGTGAGGAGTGTTTATTGTGGTCACCTAACCCAGCCTATCCCAGCTGCTCCCTTCCCTGAGCACAGAACCTACACCAATCATCTTTGTGTCTCCATGGTGCCACATTCAAAACACACTGGAGTAGAAATATTTTATTTAAATGATTTCTCATTTTTCTTAATTCACAATGTCCAATTTCAAATATCTCTTTTCCATCTGCTTCTGCTCTCTCAGCACTGGAGTATAATTTCTGCTCATTTTAGCTTAAGTACGGTTTCTAAAATACAAAATTTAAATTTCTATCCAGTTCACAATCTGATGTTGATCGTTTGGTGTAACATTTTGTAAAGAATGAAATGTCACCCTCTGATGACTGACTGGATGACTCCTTCAGCTCAGCTGTAGACAGTATCCTGTAGGGACACCAGGAAGGGATGCTCTGAGCCTGGGCCTTGCAGCTGAGCAGCTGAGCAGCAGAGCAGAGGAGTTGCAATAAATCAGCTTCCTGGGGATGTGTGTGTTATAATACAGGCCTCTGTATCCTCTGTCCCAGCAGATGGCACGACAACGTGGCAATAAATGTAATGAAAATGTCCTTCCATTTTCCTTTATATGCTTTAAAAAACCACTTCACTTTTGAGCATATAATTCTATGAGCAGGAAAAAAAAAATCCTATACAATCTTTTTTAAACTGCATTGGGTAAACAATGCAATTTTTTTTAAAGGTGGGTATTTTTCCCCAAACTCCGAGACTTTTCCTCAAAGAAATGTCTGATGTGTATTTATTCTCTCCACAATCCTTAGAACTTGAAAGGCATCTCCTTTTTACCCATATAAATTTATTATACATCACTCCAGTCTTAGTTCATGCACACCAGCACAGAGCTCATTACTATCTGCAATAGTTCAGAGTTAAAAACAAAGAACCCACAGTCTTCTTGTTATTTCTTTCTACCTACTAACAGTTCAAACACAATTCTTATTACTTCCTCCCACAATTGTGCTTCCAAACACACCCTTGCATAGAAATAGATCAGCTAATAACAATTCACCTGTTTAATATCTGGAAGCTTAAAATTAGGCTTATAGGCATCGTTTCTATTGCTATGCATTTTCTAAGATCAATTACAAATTTTTAGCCAGAGTTATCGCAAAACTCTGGATTTTAACTTGAAGTTTTCATATGTATAAATGTCAAGTGTTTTATTTTGGAAGAAATATGTCTATATTTATTGTAACTACAATGTAATTTTTTAAAAATACTTTCCAAAAGACAACAAAGTCTCAAAATTAAAATTAAGCTTGTAGGCTTATTTTTATTGATTTTTAGCAAGAATCAATCTAATAAAAAAAATCGTTATTTTTTTAACCTGAAAAAGTATTTAAGGGACCATAGGAAATATTTCTCTAGTGTAACGTGAGTACTTGGGTCTATACTGTGAATAGAATAAGATCTCCTGTTCTATATTTCCTTAAAGAAATGTCTAATGTGTATTTATTCTCTCCACAGAATAAATAGAAGATGCCTTTCAAGTTCTAAGGATTGTGGAAAGAATAAATACACATTAGACATTTCTTTAAGGAAAATGTCTCCAATAGTAGGAGAAATCCTTTGTAAGGACAGGCCTGACATCGTACTGAGATGAAACCACAGAGGAAAAAGTTTGATAAATCCAAATATGCAGATATCTAAAACTTTAATACCAAATTAAATATTTTATTACATATCTACATTGTTTAAAGTTTATACAACCACCACCTTACTTTTGTAACAATTTGTTCCTTGTTTTCTTTTTCAGAAAAAAAGAAGCAGTTTAAAATTAAGCACAGAAGTGGGGACTAGAACTTTTGGGATTTCCTGTCCAGAGTTAGCCTGCAAATCCAATTTTATTCCAATTGATTTGACCTCACAGAGTAAATGTGAAAAGCAAAATGGTAGGCTCCCCTAGGCAGCAACTGTTACTTCTTGGTTACATCTTCCTACACAGAACATTCATCTGGGAACATGTTTATAATGCCATCAATATTCTCAATAATTTTCACCATGAAGGCACAATTTTTCATACCTGCATTTTTTCTTTTGAGACAGTCTCACTCTGTCTCCCTGGATACAGTGCTATGGCATCATAGCTCACAGCAACCTCAAACTCTTGGGCTCAAGTGATCCTCTTGCCTCAGCCTCCCAAGTAGCTGGGACTACAGGCACCTGTCACAATGCCCAGCTAGTTTTGTATTTGAATTAGAGATGGGGGTCTCACTCTTGCTTAGGCTGATCTCCAACTTCTGAGCTCAATCTACCCAATCTGCTTTGGCCTCCCAGTGTGCTAGCCTACCTGCATATTTTTTTCTAAAAAAGAAGCCAGACAACTGAACAAACTCTTTGTTTAGGAGTGCAGAGTACATGGCAGTAGAAGAGAAATCGAAACCAACTTCCCCAAGAGCCCTCAAAGTCAAAAGCATCCTTTTTCTCCTACATCAACTATAGGTTACACACTGGAAAATGCAGCAAGGAAGGGATACCAAGACTTGACACAAAACCCAGAACAAGGCTATAAGGTAGCCAGGCTGGCAGGTGTAGGGCCCAAATGGCTGCAAGCCACAGCCGTGCATTTACAGTCAGCTTGGCAGTGTTTCCAACACACGTGAGGGATTTAGTTTTCTCCATATAAGGCAATGGCAAGGATTTCAAATGGACCAAACATTTTATAGTAGTGTCAACGGCACGAACACAGCTTCAGCTGGCACAGGAGAAGGAAACTAAGAAAAACTGCCTGAGCACCATCTGATCTCAGCCACCCCACCCATGTGGCACTTTCTGCACTACACCCTTGCCCAGGTCTGTGAGCCCCCCAGTCATGTGTCTGGCCCAGGAACTTCAAGTCCAAATGTTTCCCTGAATCTAGAGATTTGGAGAGTTAATTTCAACAGAGCAATTACTGTAATAATGCAGAAGATCCTTTAGTGCTGCCAAGTATTACTAGTTGTTCAGTGGCGAAAATGATTTGTTCCCTCTAACCTTTATTCTGAGCATGAATGCAATGATTTCCCATGGTGGAAGGAAGCAAGGACGGGAAAGAGGGAGCTGGATTACCCAGCATGGAAAAATCTGTACTCTTTTGCACTCTAGGGTCTATGAACTGGTTCAAAGTAACAGAAGCTGATTAAGAAAGTCAACTGAATTAGCCATCAGAAATAGATTACAAAAAAAGACAAGTTTCCAAAACATCTACAAAGCACATATAATGTCTATGTTTGTGCCTAGTTGATTTTCATAGCAACATTGGCCTTCCAGGAAATAAACTTCTTTCTCCTCTCTGAAAATCAGGTTACCAATATTAGTTAGTAAACCAAGACCAAAGCAAAATCCAATAGTGATTATAGTACTATATTTTATCTAAATGGACTGGAAGAAGGATTATTAAAATGAGAGCCCTCAAGAGAGAAAAATCCTAAGAACATTTCGTTAAAATAAAAATGACCCATTCTATATAAAAGCAGTACAAAATTTATTCATACATTTGTTTAAAAGAATATACAATTTTTTTTCTTTTGTTCATATTTGTAGCCTGGATTTAAAAAGTAGGATTTAAAAGAAAAGGCCCCAGAGTTTCCCCAAACCTGATCTGAGAAGTAGATATGAATTAGTCGCTTAGAGAGACAAGCCTGCAGCACCCACAGCTCTCACTAACCTGATAGAATCAAATAATTTCCTCTTTTTTAAATCTTACTAACATTGCTCTAATTATACTTCTAATAAGAGGCAAAACCAATTGGAAAAAATAATGTAACATTTCGTGGGCAGTAGAGATTAAATATGAGTTCAGTAATCAGCTCCTGCAAACATGAATAATGACAGAGAGAAATCGGCCATCCCCACTGCTTAGATGAGTGGGTGGGCAGTTGAAGGCGAGGTAAAAACAGTCAGGCTGAACAAAATCACTTTTATGAAAAGCATCTCATGAGGTTTTTCAAGGCCAGCTCGTGAAGGACAAATAGAAGCAAATATCTCTCATATACCCTGGAAGAAAAAGAAAACAAAAATTACCACCAGCAGCAAAATCAAATTCGAAGTCTTTATAGCCCCTAAATGAAGTTCCTTTGAGGAATACTCTTAATGCATTAAGCGAAAATAACTCGTTAAAAACAATTTGAAGTACCAGTGAAACCATTTAATTTTTAAGTCACGTTGCATTTGATTCTCAACATCATCCTGGTCAATGATGGAAGGCTTTTGTCATGTGATGTCTTACTGGCCCGTTGTCACCCACCTCCATGGTTACAGCAAGGACAGGATGAACACACTGTGGAGCAATTTAAATGGAAATGTCTCAAGGGGAGTTGCACTGTGTATTATGCAGCAGGAAGGTGACTTCTCAGGGGCCTTGAGATAGGGAGACAGACTAATGAGTCCCCACCCCCACCATGTGCAAAGGTCAGGCGTCTCCACTAAGCCTCTGCAACGCTGAGCTAAGCTACGTTTGGAATACAGACTATTGCTGTTTTTCCTCACACTCTGGGAAATTAAAATCTCAGGTTGCCTCAGAGGTCACGGCAATTGCTTAACTGCCCTTGAAGATATAGAATTTAGAGTTTCCACGGCATGCCGAAGAGCCTTGCCTACTGGATGAGTGAAAATACAATTTAAAGTGATTTTTTAAGCGTCCCACCTTAGATGCCTCATGAAAACTAATAGAGGACTCTAGAAAATCAAAACACATTTTTAAAATATAAAAGCTATTTTAAATTATTAAAGAATAAATATATTAAGCAACTTGAAAAGACTGATTTAAATGAAAAATAGTTAAAAATATCAACCCAACATATTACTTATTGAGGTTTTATTGCCTACGTCTCTATATGACATTCCAAAAAACAACTCCTTTTCCATGGCTGTCATCATAGTATTATCATATTTTCTGCCTTTCTCCTTTTCTTGTCTTTAGCCTTTTACTGGTTCTAATATTTCCTCCCCTCCCACATGTGAGATGGGGCATAATCTTCCTCTCTCATTGTCTGGGGAAGCTCAATCCTCATCTATCAGCTTCTAAATAAATAACACCCTCTTAATGTATTCTATGCACTAACTTCTGTCCACTTGTTCTTTACGAAACACATTCTAAATAACGGTTTAATTGATGACTTCTCTTTTGACTTTTGTTTGGTGTCCTTTGGCAAAGAGATGTTTTAAAATTTAGACATTTATCATTTTTTTTCAGTTTATACAAAATTCTTCCCCTGTTAATTTTTATGAATAGCCTCTCTGATTTCTTCTAAAATTTAAAAAGTCTTCTTTTCTGCTTATAAGCTTTAATCTACTTGGAACTGATTTTTAAATTTTTAACGAACGGTGTTAGGAAGGAACCTAATTTCAGGTAAGCAGCAATTGTCCCCACAGCATTTATTGAAGAGCCCATTTCCCCTGGCAATGTGTCCTCACTCTGATGTCATACATCAGAATTCCAGAAATGGTTGGCTCTGCGGGTATCAACTGTAGACCTTATTAAATACTTAAGTCTCCATGTACCTTTAGGAGTGAATTGGCTATTCTTGGTCCTTTGCTTCATTACAATTTATATAAATCTATAAAATATTTAAGAACACATCCTTATCCATTAACAAGATGGAACCTCTCCATTTATTTCATCTTCAATATCTTTACACAAAATTTTATAATTATTTTTTAAAGGGTCATATACAGCTTTGGTCAGATCTTTTTAGGTTTTTATTTATCCTCAATATGTAGCAATGAAGTTAGTTTTTATACATGGGTTTTATATCCACTAACATTTATTCTCATAATTTGAATATAAGTTCTTTTGGTTTTTCTATGTAGACAATTGTATCATCAGTGATTTAGATTTTTTTTTCCTTTTTAATCCTTATATATGACTTAGAGAAAATGTTTTCGATGTATTATTAGCACTTTCTCCCTTTGTTAGGTAAAGGAATTTCCCTTCTCTTTCTAGTTTGCTAGAAGTTTTTACCACAAATGAGTATTGGGTGCAGGACATAACTACAGGAGGGACTCTACCTAAGAAATTCAAGTATTATGACTTGGTTGTTTGTACCCTCACATTAACCTGAAATTAAAAAAAAAATTATCAAACATTTTTTTCTGTTTCTGATGAAATGATCACACAGAGTTTCTCCTATAATTTATGAAGTGAATTATCTCAGTAGTTCTTTTGTTTTCTTTCCAATAAGCCAAGCCTACATTTATGGAATAAATCCAATTTGATCAGGATACATTATGCTTTTTAAAAATTCATTATTGAATCTGTCAAAATTTTATAAGTTTTTGAAACTACCGTTATGGGCGAAAGTAAGTCTCTATTTTTCTCTGTAGTCTTTGTCTAATTTTAATTCAAAGTTACATTTACCTGCTTAATCATTTTGAAGAACATTTGCTTCTTTTTAATTAACCTGAAAAATGTTCTAAACATTTGAAATAATATGTTCCTTGAGAGCTTAGTGGAACTCTTCTGTAATACGTGTAGGCTTGGTCTTTATTTTATGAGAAGACAATAATAAATTGATCTTGATAGCATGGGTATCACTTTGCATTTTCACCAATAATGTGTAAAGTACCCATACAGAATGGCAAATAGAGAATATTGTCATCTTTTAGTTTTCTGCCAAGTAATAGATAAGGAATGCTATTTTGATTTACTTCTCCATATGTATTTTTTATTCTAATAAATTCATTGAGTTTCTTTATTTCAAAGATTATCTATAGAAGCTCTGTTTGGTGGGTTTTTTTTTTTTTTTGGTTTTTTTTTTGGGTTTTTTGCCTACTCTTCTTGGTTATTTATAATTGTCTTTTTTGCTTATTATTTCAAATCCAATGTTTATTTTTCCAAATGTTTTATAGATAGTGGTTTCAAATTTAGCATCTAATCATTTTAGTAAATCAAGGCATTTGGTGCTAAATCCCTCTGTTGTGTTTGTGATGTTCAATCTTTTTTTTTTTTTTTGAGACAGGTTATCACTCTGTTCCCCTAATGAGAGTGCAGTGCTATCATCATAGCTCACTGTCATCTCATCTCCTGAGTTCAAGTAATCTTCCTTCCCCAGTCTCCCAAGCTGAGACCCTTGGCACACACTACCATGCTTGGCTAATTTTTCTATTTTCTATAGAAATAGAGTCTTGCTCTTGCTCATGCTGGCCTCAAGGGTTCTCCTTCTTTGGTTCTCCCAAAGTGCTAGTATGACAGGAATGAGCCACCACACCCAGCTTCACTTGTTTTTTTGTCTGTGCAGTAAGTTCCATTCATTGTTTTACATTTATGATATATCAGTGAACAAAATAACCAAAGGGTTCCACCCTTGTGGAATATGGAATATACATTATGATAGGGAAAGACTGAGAGTGAAGAGTCAACAAAATACATGAATTACATTAGAAGATGATATTAGAAGTTGAAGAGTGTTACAGAAAAAGAAGTGGAGCCTAGAAAGGGAATTGCAAGAGCCAGGGCAAGGGCCCAAGGCAGCCTCAGTGTGGCTGTGAAATTCAGTGAAGTTGGTGAAGGAGACAAGCCATACGGATGTTCTGAAGAAGAATTTAGAGAAAGAAGCCAGGGAAAAGGCCTTAAGGTGAGAGTAGCCATAACTGGTTTAAGAATAACAAGGAAAAAGCTGGTGCTGCTAGGGAAGACTGAGGAAGAAGGGCAGTGGGAGGAGCTGGAGGCTCCCAAGGCCTGGTCATGAAGCACCCGGCAGGCAGCTGTAGGGACTCTGGCTTATACTCCAAGTGACTGGAGGACTAATGAGACCCATTGGAGGGTTTCAGGTAGAAGACAAGATCTGACTTCTGTCACTGTCACATTGAGACTAGACTGTAGGTAATTGCAGGCTGAATGGGGACCAAAGACCCCATTCTTGGCAAGGGAAAACACCCCCAGAAAAGGGGGAAAATAAAAACGTAAGCTGAGTGAGGCAGAACAAAGGAAAATCATCTAGTTTACATTTAAACCAGCCCCTGCTAAATTTCTTATCTGAGCAAGTTTCCTGCTTTTTCTAGAACTCTGGCCTATTGGGAATACAGCTTACAAACATCTATGCCGGGTCTGTGAACACTATGAAGAAGATGATGGCCACAGAAGATGCTGTGGCAAGGCCTAGCAAGATACATCAACTAGGCTATTTTCTATCCGGTAAGTAGTCAAAGTAAATACCCATTGTGGAGATTTGTATTTGGCTGGGGCAGAGATCAAGGGAACAGCTTGAGCCCCAAAATATGGGTAGGAAGACTCATATCCCATATCACATATGAAGACCACAGGAACTGGTGGGATTAATAGCCCCCTAAGAATCTATGTATATGATGACAAACAGGAGGCTGCCCCCACACAAGGCTCAGGTTCTGGATTTCTCAAGACTGCTCAGATCCTTAAGGTTAATGATTACAGAAACAATAAGAGGTGATATGCTCACTCAGAGAAACTGCTGGAGTCTTTGTTCCCTTCCTCAGCTTACCCTCTGGGCTAAAGAGCAAACGGCCTTCAATAAAAGCTGAGTGAAACTGACACTCAGGGCCACCATCAGAACCCCAAAAGTGGGCCATGGTCCCCTGGGTTCCCACTTTTGAAAATTCTATTCTGTGTGTCTTATCTCTTTCTTTCTAACTTTATATTTCTTCAGTTGGTTGCTGCCAGATCCACAAATGTTAATGGACCCTGCTCCCGGGGAAGGACCCCAGCAAGCAATCATAGATCCATGTAGGAGATTACTGCCAGCACTTGGATGGGCACTGATCAAGGCTGGAAGCAGGATAATGGCAGGGAAAGTGGTGACAAGCTGCTGGGCTGGATATATTTGGAAGGAAGAGTCAAGAGGATGTGTTGATGGATCAGCTGTTGGGGAATATGAAAAAGGGGTCATAGCATTATAGAAACAGGAAAAAGTGCAGCTAGATGATCAGAGTGAAGGGGATCAAAGGTTAAGTTTTAAACATGTTAAGGCTGAAATGTCTGTTACACATTCAAGTAGAGATG